TAAAGTTGATGATGATGATGATGATGATGATTTATAAATGTTGGCTCTGCAAATAAAATCCACTGGATACTCAATCATAAAGTCAAGCTTTGATTACACTGTAGGCTGAACAGCAGCTTCTCGTGATTACAGAACCCACCGAGTGTCCCTGCAGGGCCTCACAGCCTAGAGGACTGACTCAAAAAATTTTGTTGAGCTCTCCAGGGCAACAACTTGAGGGGACTAGATACAGGCCTTCCTGTGTTTGTAGCCATAATCTGATGGAAGATGATAAACATGCATGTCCTGGAGTGTGGATGCTGAGCAACTACTGAGCATTTAATCCTATCTCTGTGAAAGCCCAGTGCAGATTCGCTTGTTGGTTGGTGATATTCATCTTTGCTGCTGGCCTGCCTTTTTCAATGCCACTTACACCTGTTATTATCCACTTCACCAATATTCCCATCTCAGTGACTTAGAGATTCATTTATGAACTCATACCAACTGTGCCACATTTGCTTTAGTCATAACTGGTTTGTAAGGGAAAGAAATGTTTCATGCCTGCCTTTATAACAAAAATCTGAACAAATTAATTGTCAATTCACTTTCTAATGTCCAGTGGGGAGCTGCAAAAGATCAGTGTATGGTGTCCAGATCATTAAAAATCTTGTCATTACTTTCATATGGTGACATAAGATAGTCTGAACATATAAAAGTCCTCAGAATACCAAGAGAATTACATTTGTCCCACATCTAGCAGCTGATGATACTGTATATGCAGAGATTGCTGGGCTGCACACTGTTTGCAGATCCTCTCATGAGGCAGGAGGAATATTCTGGAAAGTATTAGAGCCTTTATGAGACCATTTCACTCTACAGTGACGAGATGAGTGCTCATAGACTGCATGAGGTTAAACAGTTGTGGGATCCAAGCTACTCACCCGCTCTAGAGTGATTTCCTCAAACTCGCATTCAATTTCTGTGCCATTGACCTGAGGACACAAAAAACTGAGTGAGTGAAGACATTCAATCCATATTTATTTCAAATACTGCTTTAAAATAAAACACTGCTTAATAATTTTATTTAATTACATTCATAGAGTATGATGCTAAGCACTAGCATTACACTAAGGCTAACTCTACATAGTTAAATCAAAGGTGACAGGTATTTTCCAGGGCCACTCATATCTGCTGTGCTAAACAGGCTTCACCTCAAGGGAAATGATTTAAGGCAATGGTTAATCAACATTAGCTATTTCTGGAACATGGACATTAGCTATGGAGAAGGCAGTCTTCTCCTGTATCTTACAGAGATAATTAATTGTGTGGATGCTGTAAAGCACATGTTTTGACATCCTGATGGGGAAATGAGATTTTATGTTAGACTAGTCAATACTATGTGCAGGAGTATTTGCTCCTGTGTGGTCTGTGTTGTTTGTGTTTCCTCTTTGCAGGACAGAGAGGCCCAAAAGGATGGAGAGTCCAAAGTGAGAGCAGGAGATGTCATGTACATGAAGGTGCCCCGGAGGAGGAGAGACCCCCTTTGCGAAGGAGGCCCGTACATGATGTGAAAGACCCTGAGGACAGAGATGGCTTGGAGCTGATCCTGATTCGATAAGGAGAAGATGTGATCCAAGGGATTCCTTGGATGAGGAGGGAGTTCGAGTGAAGCTGATGCTCCCCTTGATGACAGTACGGGTTATGACTCAGCTGTGTTCTATCTGACCCTCATGAGGAGGGAGTGCAAGTCAGAGGTACTGAGGTCAGTCATGCTTAGAGCATCCATTGAAACATTGCAGCCGGTGAGGATGGAAGAAAGCAGACGGTGACAGAGTGAAACTGCAAGGAACTGAACTGATCAAAGGACAATGGACTTGGACATTATATTTTATATATTCATACTGTACACAATTAATGCATAGCACTTATTAGTATCTTGTCATTCATATATTCACTACTTAATTATCACTGAGTATTTTCATATTTTCAGCTCATCTCTCAGCAGAAGATTTTTGGTTAGAGCATTTATAGAAGTAGTTTAGTTACATTACAAATGTTTGTGTTACAGTTATGTTGTATTTTTGAGTTCAGTTTCAGAATTTACACTATGTCTGGTTCCTACAATCAGTCTCACTGCAGGCCTTGATGGTGATCGCCCAAAAGAAGCCTGGAGACGGTTTTCCCCAGCATTCATCATCATTGGGGTTTTTTACGTCTCAAAAGAAAAGAATGGGGATCATCCAGAAATTTTGCCCTCCAAGGGTTTTTGTCTGGATGTGCAGTGGACAGAGTTGTAGCAGAATTGAAGCTGTTTGTTTTACAGTACAGACATGTGTATCATTGAAACTGTTGTTATGTGCGGGGAAAAGAGGATCACCTGGTCGGTTATTCTTTCTTTTCTATGACTGTTTATTTTCACTGTGTTACACGTAAAATTAGAAAGTTGTGGAAATTAGGAAATTAGCAAATTAGAAAGTAGAGAGTTCTGCCATGCGAAGGCAGTACTTATTGTGTGTACAAGCATGTTTTTTTAGAGTTTAGAGAGTTGGATTAGTGTAGAATTGCTCTGTTAGATCAAAAGTTTGTCTCTGTAATAAAAGTTGATCTCTATTTTCCTTTTGGATGAGGTAGGAAGATAAGGTTTATTTAGTGATTTGTAGTGTTACTTGGGCTTATTGATTAGTTTTAGGAAGTGATGTATTCAGATATATGTGTTTATGAATGTTTCTGTTAGGGTGAACCTTTATCCTACAAGGGGAACAGAGTCACCTCATGCTGGTTGTTTATTTTTGTTTACTTTTATGTTCATGTTTGTTCATTTGTCTGAATCTGTTATGAATAGGAAGTTATGTCCTTTCATACAGTTAATTTGTTCACCATAGTTAATCACTACTAACTCTGCAAAGGTGTGAGAAGCTAGAGACTTGACTGACTGAGTTGTTCAAGTTATGTTTCATTAGAGTATGTGAGAAAGACTTTGTTAAGGTTAAAGGTTTATTGAGGACTCGCTAGTTCTGTGACAGGAAATTATTTTAGATTTGACCTTAGATGCAGGAAGAGGTTAATGTTTAGCTACAACTGTTAGAGTTTAGAGGTGTTAAAGTCTCAGGCCAACATGGTCATATTTTGAGTTTCCATAATTTGAGCTCCAAAGTCCCATAATCTAAAAACTATGGGAGGAGGGACTGTAGTGGTTTAAGTTACATGTTAATATGGATTATATAATAGAATCGTGTTTATGGGTTCATTAAGTTCACATGAGCTGAACAATAAGCTTATATATGTTGGCCAAGATGTTGCCTGTTTTTGAGTACATCTCAGGGTGTTGTCTCCTAAAACTGGAGACAGGAAGCTAAGTTCAGAAATTGATGTAACAGCCTAAGGAAAGCTGTGGATAAAAGAGTGAGCATGAAGGGGTTTTAGAGGAAGAAAGAGAGAAGATGAGAATGCTACCGTGAAAAGCGTACCGTAGGGGGAATGCTGACTGACTGTGGGTTGACAGACAGACTGACTGACTGGACTGACTGGAGCTATGACAAGCTTCTTATTTAATACTTTATCTATTCCATTACAGGAGGAGTGACTCTGTTCTCTGTTCCCTAACTACCAGATGGCTTAGTTAACTATTACTTTGTTAAGAATAATTGTAATATTAAATGATTACTTAAATTGGGATGATTTGTCTGAATTAATTTAGTCTGTATCACATTCTAGCCACGACAGTATCAAAATGTTCAAGTCTCCCAGGACATTCATGCTTTGACTCAGAATTTTTATACACTCCACCCTTCTGAAATATTTAGGTTTATTTTGAAAATTTCCCCCATTTCAAATTAATGGGAAAATTGTACTTCAGCATACTTTCAGGTAGATATGCCTTTCAGGTGTCAAAATGTTCAGCATTTTCAGGGCGATCCTTCAGCACATAGCATCCACACGCATTTTCAACAGAAAATGCATTTCTCTAGTTAGCAGTGAGTGCTTCCGTCATTATGCATTCATACAAAAATAGCTCACAAACATATGAAACGCTGTATATCATATTCACAGTTGGGCATCAGATATTATTATCAGATATTATTATTTGTGTGATTTTGGAAGCAAGCAAGACCTGAAGACTTAATTAGCAACAGCAGAGAAACAGTATTTTCTCAGCTGTTACTACTGTATATGATAAAAACCTGATGCTTCAGTTTATGGGCAAAGCTCTATCACATGAACAATGTGTGTAATGTTTGGCAGGAAAAAGCAAGCAAATAAGGAAAACATTTTCAACTGTTAACATAAGCACTAACTGTGAATAATACACTACACTACACTACACCACTAGTCAGCTTCTGCTTTGCACCACAGTTAACTTTATTTGTTTTGATGTAAAATACCATGAAAAGTGATAGAGATGAAGGTCTTTAGAAAGTCTAGTGCTGTTTTTTCATTCATGACAAACATTAAGAATTCATCACTGTGACTTCATTCATACTAAAACATCACACCTCAAACTCAGTATTAGAATGAAAATGTGCTCAAATCTGTTGTAAATACTGACAGACTGAAAACACCAACAGGCATATTAAAAAAAATTCAAACTCACATAAGGCACTGATTCCAAAGTGTCTGTGTTGACAATTATCGGGGCTGGGCTGGCCTGTAAGAGAAGAAGAGAGAGAAGGGGCAGAAAAGGGGTAGCCTTATCTTTAGTGTTAGAGAGACATCTGGGCCCTTCACTGTCTTATACTTTCCATAATTGTATCCAGGGCACAAGCTTGTGAATCTCTGTATCGTCAACAATTAGCTGTAACAATTTTTCATTTGCTGGATGGCACCATAAGCAGGCACCTGTCATACACAGGTATTATAGTTAATAGGCAATGAGTGAATGTATGAGTCATGCAGATATGCATGAAAACATCATACAGATTGTCATAAGAATTACATTATTATACATTATTTTTGCTGTGTTTTAATCATTATATACTATTCAATGTGTTTTAAACTTTCAGAACAGAGACGCAAGAAACTGAAGCTGAAGGACGTTTTCTTTCATGTGTAACTCTGTGTACTGTGATGTAATCAACCACATACTGTTCCAGGCGAAGAGAGACACAACTGTCAACTGTAGGATAAGCATGTCTCAGTATGATTAGTCATGTTATCAGGGTGCGCCTGTTTACTATATATTATGTTGTATGAACCTGCCTCACTCAGACAACTCTGTATGCTCATGCTGACTTGTCTCGTTGCTGCAAGTAAAGAATATTGCTTAAAATGTTCCAGTCACTTCGTTGCATTATTTAAAATTCCTTTGACACAGATATATCATGAACCCTAGAAAAAGTAAATATTAACATTTTAAAGAGGGCAGTGCTCATACTGTTAAAACCTATTTAGACATTTCTTTGACTACACCTGTTATGGCTCTACTGCAGTGTCTGCATTGTACAACTCGAAATCAGAAAACGTTGGGATGGTTGCATTCCAGATCATAGCCTTTGAGTTATATTGACATCTTAATCTTTTCTTAATTTTCTTTTCTCTTATGCACCATGTATGGATAACACTGCCCATGTGTTTGATTTAAGAGTATTTGTTATTTAAAGAGGATGGATAGTTACAGACCGCGAGAGGCTGAGATACAAAATTTTTCTGGTATGGTTACTTTTCTGGATTTTCTTTCTTTCTTTACTAGATACATTATCTTTTATCATTCATATTCCATTCTTGCTGTATGCCCCACTGACCAAATGATGAAAATTGTAATATTTGTTTTGAAATCAATGACTAATTGTTATTCATTGTTATCTTAACCCTCCTGTTATGTTGCGGGTCAAATTGACCCACGAACATAACTGCTTTAAATGAGACAAATATTTGATATGAAGAAATGAACATAACAGGAGGGAACCCTCCTGTTATGTTCATTTCTCAGGTGATGCCTGCTCAGCAGTTATGTTCGTGGGTCAATTTGACCTGCAACATAACAGGAGGGTTAAAAGAAGCCAAAGTGGAAAATGATCAGAAGTCTCCTGAGTTAAAGTTCCACTCCATTCGCCTCATCTTGTCCCTTTGCAGACTCTGACTTCCTCCTGTCATTTAGCCAATAGAGGCCTTTGTCACTTGGACCAAACCAGAAGTTATGATACAGACTGAAATGATTGACGCTGCCACTTCTCTCCCACTGTCACTGCAGCAGTACTACTCAAACGTACAGTACATATTGCTCATCATTCATCATCTTCGTTTACATTTAACAAACATCCTACAGTGCTGACTGCCAGATATTTGAAATGAAAAATAATTGGGATATGGATTCTATTTAGCCTTTTTTGGTATAGTGTATCTGCCCCTTATTGTTTTTCTATAGTGTAATTCAGTTTCCTGAGTTTTGAAGTTTTACAAGAGGTGGTAGCTTCCATCTGGACCTCTCCCACACAAACTCCTAGGTTTTTACTTTGGTTTCATGTATGGCTGAGTATATGTGGAGACAAGTGTATTTATACGACATGAATATATATAAAATAAAAATCCCCCACTCGCCCTACTTTGGAGCTACTCTCCCAGTTTGGGGGTCACAGCCCCCAATGTTCCTATTACCACAGGGACCACTTGTACCTTCACCTTCCACTTCTTTTCTAGTTCTTCTTCTGTTTGTCCACCACTACTATATCCAGTTGGTTGGCCATTACCAGTTTGTCAGTGTAGTGGTTAAAGCAAACTGAATATAATCAGAATAGGATCAGAATATAGTTAATAGTTAATGTTAGTAAATGCACAACATGTAGTATGGTCAGGGTGAACTTTCTGCTCCTTGTACAGGTCTCTGCAAGGACATCAAGCGCCAAACTTCCTGTTGTTTAGCACAGGAAGTAATCACCTCCCAAGATCTGGACAATACGTACGGATCGTCGGATTCTCAGGGATGAAACAACTGATTCCCATTTCACACCCTGTTCCTCTGCAATTTCAGGGAAAAACTGTTGAACGGCCCGTGTTAATATCAGATCAAACTCCTGTGAATTTGCTTGGATGAGATGCTTTGTGCAAACTGGATTGTAAAATTCAGTGCACCCCGGCTGGAGTGCTTGTCGGCACTGCACAGAGCCAAATGACTGCGAGAAAAGCTTAGGCAGTGGTTTACTGGCTCAGTGATTTGAGTGACACCTTTATGGAGCCAGCTAAAACATGAATGGACTTTATTAAAGCCAATATGCCAGAAGTCTTGTCCCCCATCTGTCGTCCTCACTGCACTGTTCAATACTACAAGTCTGGATCCACAGCAAAGCCAGACATTTGGCT